CTCCCCTTCTCTCTCAGTCTGTCTTTTAAAAAAGTTTTCCACAATTTATACAACTTTTTTGAATGCAATAAGTTCTGTTTCATGGAGAGCGTTGGTTCTGTGGAAAGTGTGTACCCCAGAAATACACAAGCACCGTTATGTGTCTTGTCTAGTGCTAGGTCCAGAGCCAGAAAGAATGAAAGCCCAGGCAGGAAAGTCCCCAGGGTGTGCGTGACCCACACCACCTACTCTGTTTATATTCATCTTTCCATTATCTCACATTTTTTTCTTTTCCCTTATTACCCTTCTCCTACCCATCCCACCTTCCCTACACCTTTAGCCCCTTTCTTCCCATTTCTAAATGTCAGTAATCTTATTAGGATCTTATGTATTATTGCAGATTAGACTAGTTTTATCTGAGTAGATGAAGAACCCGAAATCTATTGTGGGTATTTATGTTCCTTTTGTCTCCTTCTTCCATTTGGATTGGGAAGTCCATAGAGACTGTGGTGGCATGGATTGCTTTGGCTAATTATGAGTTCTGTGCATTGAGACCCCAAAGTCACAGAGTAGTCAATAATTAGCCTCCAGCCCTTTAGTGACTCCAGTCCTGTTTCCCGCTCCGTACCTGTGGCCGAGTCTCTAGTGTTGTATCATGAAGCTCCTAGGTGTCATTGTATTAATTTCAGTCCTGAGGACAGACTGAGCCTTCACTGGGCAGCAGACAAAAGAGGGTCTTTGGACCTGCTCTCCTTGACTATGACCCAGCAGAGAAACAGCATCACCCAGTAAGTGCAAAGGGACCTCACTGATATGAGAAGGATGCTTAAGTTATTATTTCCCCATCCTGAGGAGAAGCATATTTTTGGTGGTCAGATCTGAGGGTACAAATATGAAAAATATCAGTTATATGGAATGGAAATTTGATGATCTTGGTTGTAGAGGGGAAAGCAGAATGATTTCAAAATTGCTTTTTCTCACCCTGTTTCTACTTCCATTGATGTCTCACTCGTGACAGCAGAAAAACGTGCCCTTCTTCAGTGTCTCCTGCGTGCTCTAGAAGGATTATAAAGGCAATGGTCAGGATACAGAGGAAGACACTAACTATAACATCAAGAACTGGGTTTGAGGGCTTCTTGTCTTTCAGGCACTGAGCAATTTCTTCTATGTGACTCATTTTATTTCATGTTCTCTGTCTTCCCAGAGTTATATTTGCTTACATCGTTATCACTTATTTTTAAAAAGGAAGAATCTGTCATTTTAATGGAACCTGGGTTAGGTTGTTATATCCAAAAATTAATCCGTGGAATCGGGTTGTCAGATTACAGACACGGGGTAATTCTGTGAGGTGGTCTCTTAGCACAAGCAGACTATTAATTCTCTGTCACTTCAGGAGAGGCCCCTTGCTCATTGGGCCCTTGTGAGTTTTCTGAAAGCTCACAGAACAAAACAGTGATTGGCACCAGCTCTGTCCATCGTAGACTGGCAAAGAGCTGAGAGCGGCTTTCTTGAGCGTTCAGCACAGATTTCTCTCCTGCCCCCACTGTACGATATTTCTGAGCGTCCCACGTTCATCCCCAAGCTTGCACTAATTTCCCACCAACTCAAATGTGGAAACGTCATGTCTTGGTTTCATTTCTCTTTAGGAAATGAGTGTTGCCAACGCGCCTCTAAAGCGCCTGTGATTATCAGCCCTGAACCTCTTCATAAATCTTTCTGTGGATTGGAAGCAGTGAAAAATGTCAGTGTATCAGACCGCATCTGTCAATTTCTCTTCTTTTTATTGAGTCAATTCATTTTTTAATCCTTATTATTTCCTTGGTGCAGGGCAGGGCTTTAATATCTCTGAGAGAGCTTTGTCATTAGTGTTAAATTTTACTTGAAGCCAATGCACTAAGGATTACCCAGATGAGGAGTGCTCTATTTAGGGTTAATGTGTATAAAATCAGAACAAATAAAAATTTGGCTGTCATTACTATCAGTGATAAGTATATTCCTACCAGTTATCTTCTGTGTCCTATACTCTTCCTTTCAATTTCTGTTGGAGGACATTTTGTTTGTGTTAGTATGAATATGAGAGAGAGAGAGAGAGAGAGAGAGAGAGAGAGAGAGAGAGAGAAATGATGCACTTGCTTTACAGCTGATCTCCCAGACCTATAGCTTATTTGGCACAGAGACGACATCAAAAATAAAAACCTATGTTCAACATGAATGGACCCTTCTTTGAGTCACAATACTTGCCCTTAGTGATCATGATGTGAAGATAATTTGTATCATATTTTCTGCAGCACCATTCCTTTCACAAATGCTCCATAGATGGAAAGACAAAACGAAAATCGCTTGTGTTTTTTTCTCTGTGTGTCACGGACACATGGACGCTATAATCCAATTAATTGTACCTCTATGAGTTATTTCAAAACAAAACACAACAGAGATGTTAATGTTTTGTTTTGTTTTTTACAAAGGCACAAGGAGAACGGAGCAGGTGACTCCCTCAAGCTTAGGTAAATTAAAAACTTCATATTTCAGGCTCTCATGCCATTTGAATGCAGTTCACTGTACATAATAACCTTCTTACTTGCTTAAGATTAGGTGTATTTATTTTAAAAACAAAATCGAAGCCAGGGATTTAGCTCAGTGGTTCCGCTGCCTGTCTCCTAAGTGCAAGGTCCTGAGTTCCATCCCTGGTACCAAAAACAAAAAGGTCTAACTTATGGGAAGGAATGAAAGCAGTCCTACAAGGAAAATGTGAACTCATGTTAACAAGTTTAACATGAATTACAAGGCAAGAAGCACAAGGGTTGAAAATATTATCGTAATAAAAAATTTACAAGGTAAATGAGGTCTCGCTCTCCTTCCCTCCCCCCACCGCTCTACAATTCTGTGAATTGGTTGAAGAGGACCAAAAACCACTACTTGTGGATATAACCTAGTCTATTTGGGGGGAAATAGATGTTCTGTAACACACTCCTTATAGATGAGTTTTAGGTCCCTTTTAGGTAAATTATATGAAAATTGCTTGAAGATTCATCAGTCCGTGTTGAGCTGGAAACACTGACAAGAAATTTACCCATGAAATTCATAACAACAGATTCCTTTGGGAACAGGTGACCAAGAAAAATGATAACAAGAACTCATATTTTTAGGTAACTGGTCATATATCTAAAGAATATTAATGATGATGTAAATATTATTATTTATGTTAATATCTATTGATAATAGGAATGGGAAACTTTCTGAATACCAGCCAATATTCTCAGACAGTGATACTCAACTCTCATTTATGAAAATGACTCAAAAATTGAAATGTAAATATTCTAAAGCTGTGGGGAAAGTGGGAAGTGTAGGGGAAAGGTAATAAGGGAAAAGAAAAAATATGAGAAATGAAAAAATGGAAACAAAGTATTTGTAAATAAGGAGAAGAGGAGGGGGTGAACGGAGGCCAGGGATAAGGGGAAAAAATGAGAACCAAGACCTGTCATGGAAAGGTACAAGATCCCAATGATGAATGTAACTGTACTGTATACCTAAAATGTACCAATAAACTCAATGAGAAAAAAGAAATGTAAATATTCTGATTAATTTTTACACTAGGCCTAAAGTATCTGGAGATATGAGAATTATATTCCTATGACAAATATATCCCTGAATTAGAATCAACAGTGATGCAAATTAAATGATTTTCAAAGTATTTTCTACAGCATCAAAGTAAGATATGTAATTCTTATCCTCGTTTTGCACACAAGGGGAAAGCACATTATTTTTCATGTGCGATTACAAGATTTCACATACCTTTTTCTATTGCACCTGAGTTCTATGGTGTGCTTACATTATTTCATGTACAATTTTGGGATTCTTCCAAATTAAGTCACAGAACGGCCTGATGGAAATATGGGTCCTAGTTTCCATCAAATAGCTGAAATATGAAAAATGCAACTCATCTATCAGGAGAGATTGATGTGGAAGTCTGTTGGTTAGAGTTAGGAAATCCAGGACTGGGCAGGGCCTTAGGAGTTTCTTTGTTTCCAGTGTCATCAATAGGATACAAGAGGGTTTAGGATCAGAACAGCAGCAAAGCATTTTATCAAGCTATGGTATACTATAGAGTCAAAAAGGAGATGTCCTATATAGCAGATATTTTATCATAACTGTATTGTTTAACTTAAATATACAAATAAACAATGAAAAAAACATATTTTACTAATATTGTATGATTAAATACACAATATAAAATTTTAAAAGGCAAAAGTGCTTCTATCATTTATTATTTTTCTTGACAAATGCATTGGAAACTAATCTACACTTGTAATTCTGTCTGAAGATTATACCCATTAATCTGAACCTGCAATCTATAAATTTGACTGCAACAAACACTGGGATAAAAGTTTCATATTGAATAATTTATTCACAAACAAAATTTATGCACAATTTGTTTACAAAGTCTGTGTAAATTCTTACATCCTTAAAAGATGAAATCAGGAAAAAAGCAAAAAAATGAAAAATTCATTTGTTAGCACAATAGCTCAAAACAATGTGTTCTGATTGAAGAGAATTAACTTGAATTTCATTTTCAGACAATGCAGTCCTAGCTTTTACAGTATTTGTAGACACCCTAGTCAAGGAAATTTGTAGCATTTATGCATATAAAATATGGAATATTTAAACATTTTTCAATTTGCTTTCAATAGAATCATATTTTCTTAAAGGGCCTCTATACTTTTTTGAAAAAAATTTCCCGCATTTTAATGTGATCCAGGATTTCAGAAATCTGTGTCCTCGGTCTGCTTACACTGTGCAGTACAGCATCAGTAATGTACGAGTGTGCAGAGGGGGATGGAAAACAAACCACCCAACAATGGGGCCTTTACGGTGGGGTTTATCACAAGAGAGCAACGCTGCTGAAGACTGTATTGGCTAGAAATTATTTGTTTATGAATACTTGAGCTCAGGATATATGCAGTTTTGTGTGATATTTTTGTTTCATTTTTTCAGCGAACTTTATTTAAACATGCCCCAGCAACATGGAAAGACATAACCTCACAACGGTCTCAGAGTTTTACCTCATGAGCTTCTCAGAGGACCCGGACCTGCAGCCCGTCCTCTTTGGACTATTCCTGTCCATGTACCTGGTCACAGTGCTCGGGAATCTGCTCATCATCCTGGCTGTCAGCTCTGACTCCCACCTCCACACCCCCATGTACTTCTTCCTCTCCAACCTGTCCTTGGCTGACATTGGTTTCGCCTCCTCTACAGTCCCAAAGTTGGTTGTGGACATCCTAACTCACAGCAGAGTCATCTCCTATGTGGGCTGCCTGACTCAGATGTCTCTTTTTATCTTTTTTGGAGGTATGGATGACGTGCTTCTGATTGTGATGGCCTATGACCGCTTTGTGGCCATCTGCCACCCCCTGCATTATTCAGTCATCATGAACCCTCACCGCTGTATCTTATTACTTTTGCTGTCAGTCTTTGTTAGTGTTGTGGATTCCCAGATGCAGAATTTAACAGCCTTACAAGTTACCTGTTTCAAAGAGGTGGAAATTGCTAGTTTCTTTTGTGACCCTCATCAACTTCTTGACCTTTCATGTTCTGATGCCTTAATCAAAAACATAGTATCATATATGGTTGGTGTGCTATTTGGGTTTTTTCCCCTGTCAGTAATTATTTTCTCCTACTGTAAAATTGTTTCTGCCCTTCTGAAAATCCCAACACCTGGGGGGAGGTACAAAGCCTTTTCTACCTGCGGTTCTCATCTCTCAGTTGTTTGCTTATTTTATGGAACAATCCTTGGAACGTATCTTGGTTCAAGTGCATCATATTCTCCCAGGAAGGGCATGGTGGCCTCACTGATGTACACTGTGGTCACCCCGATGCTGAATCCCTTCATCTACAGCCTGAGGAACAGGGACATCAGCAGCAGTGTGAAGAGGCTCCACTTTTGGAAAATCTAATCCCAGGAACTTTGCCATTCATTTCTTTGGAATGTAATTTAGAAAATGTGGTTTAAAAAAAAAAAAGAAAATCCCTTGGTTTTATTGTTTCTGAAGTTTGATGTCTTTAACTTTATATGATGTTTCATTACAGAGTCACAGATGTTTGAAGGCTAGTATTTAGTGTTCTTCATACAGGGGCAAATATTAGTTGGGAAAGTGAAAAAATTCTGGAGATGGGTAAAAGTGACAGTTCCAGAAAAAGATATTATAATATATGTAACCGAACTCTGCACCTAAAATTGCTTAAAATAGCACCTTTAGATATGTATATCTGTCGCGAGCCGCGACGTCAGAATCCTGCGAGCAGGTCCCAAACCCGAGGGAAGAACAACAGGAGAGCAGTTTCACGAATTTAGTTCCAGGCTCATGCTCTCTTCGTAGCAAGGCCCCGTTTATGCTTCAGGGTGGGGTATATATAGGCTCAAACCGAAACCAAAAGTGTAAACCTTTATACTCTTCAGCTGCATGGGAGCGAGGGCTGCACGGGAGCGAGAGTACCGCCCACACATTCCAGAGGGAAACAACAACAACCATTATGGGTTACATCTGCTACCAGCTGAACTCGCCAGTGGCTATGGGCGACAGCACGTCCGTGCCAGTCAGGTGACTCAAAGTTCAATTATGGCTAGGCCTGTGTCAAGGCTCACCATGATGGCTCACCATATATATCTTTCTACAATAAGCAAAAAAAAAAAAAAAAAAAAAAGGCTGAAGACTTGGTTGAAAAAGGAAAAACATTATCAAAGATAATAATACTCTTAGGACTTCTTCTGTATAAAGGAAGGGCCCAAAAGTTTTGTTGACATTTATTTTTTTAACTTGCATTGAATTTCCAAATAGTCAAATAACATGGAGTGCTAGGGATCGTTATAAACTGTGTGCACTGAGATTTCCAGGTAATGAGATGTGACAAAACCTGTCAATTCTTCTAAGGTTTGTTTAAAATCTTGAGATGTCTTTATCTCCTCCTCCAGGTTCATAGGAAAGCCATGAAATAAGAAACCCAGATTTGACATTGTCCCTGTCAATTCTCTGGGGAGTTCTTGCACCTTTTTCTGGCTCTCGGGGAGATATGCACTGTGAGATATGTTTTGGGCATCCCACAGTAAGACACACAGCCCAACTCAGGATGGAGGAAGGGCTCCTGGAAACATTGCCTCCCATCATGAGGACATTTGGACAGTGGGATGGAATGGTGATTGTGCACAGTTTCAGCTCAGAGGACTGCAAAAGGTTTGTACTGGGTTACTGCGGGAAACAAAAATCTCAGTCAAAGTTTTGCTTTCCTCGTGCACTGGCCTTGCTTCTCGTACACATCTAACCCATGGCAGCATGGTATGGGTGTCAGGAAACTTCTTCCTCAGCATCTCCAAAGAATTACAGTCGAGACTAGAAGGACAGTAGTGAGGATGAAAATAACCATAACGCCATGAAGCACTCACGAAAGATTTCCTTAATGGCAGCAGCTATTATGTACTCCGTGTAACTTGTTTTATTTTCTGTGCACAACGTTTCTGAGTAAACGCACCTGTGTTGTTACGTTAAAAGGAAATGGGGGCTCTGTGCTTTTCTGTAATTAATTACAAGTTGTGGGATAGAAACCAATGAAGAGGGCCGGGGATTTAGCTCAGTGGTTCTGCCACTGCCTTGGAAGTGCAAGGACCCGAGTTTGATCCCCAGTACCAAAAAAAAAAAGTGAAGAAATATTTGCAGAACACTGTCTGATACCGCACCCAAGGCATTTTACCAGGCAGATGCTGACATATAGTCCCTTTGTTGATCCGAGCCTCCATTTCCCTTTCCTGTCCCTCCAGCAGGGACCCATTTGTTACTGTGCTCTACCCTTAGGAGTCCCAAGTAGATCGCTATGGGCAGAGGGGTGAAAACGGCTGCCTGCACTTTAGAAAGGACATGGAACTTAAGGAGTAAAGATCACGATGATTGGTTTTGCTCTCACGCCTGACTCCCCACTCCATGCTGTCCTTTAAGCTCTCCACATCCTGCTCCTCTCTTGTAAATTGTCCTTCTCGGCGCCTACAAGAGAAATCAACTCAGGTTAGGATTCTCTCCAACTCTGAAAACTGAAAAGAGTTTAACTGTCGCATATATAACTACAGTGTAGACATAACAACCTCTGCTAAAACTTTATGCTGGTTAACAAACAACATGACTTGTGGATCGGACAGACAGAATGACAATTTAATTTGGAATCTTGTCCTCACCCCTTACCAGTAGGTCAAGTGTGGCAGGTTGTTTTTATCATTGACGTCTGAGTTAATTTCTAGTTTAAACTACTGTATTAAATATGGATTAAACACATCAGGAAAGCTCCTCCAAATCTTAATAGGTAATGACTATATATAATATACGGCTAAAATTCAAAGTAGATATCAGCAGCAAAACAAATGCTAAAAGATTCAATTTCACAACTTTCAAATAAAATATTCTGGTATCTCAAGTTGTCATTTTCTTTCTGACATCATAGGACATTCTGTATTTTCTTTTTTCAAATATATGCATGTGTTTAGAGAAAATTCATTTCTGATTCCCCAGTTTTTATCTCTCTCCTGGCACACATGGGACTAATTAAAAACAAAAATTTTTGCTAAATAATAAGTAGACACCTTTGGCTCACAATAATCGGACAGTTTTTCAGAGAACATAGCAAAGATTTTCATAGCTATAAAGACTCCATACATAGGGCCTGGGATTTAGCTCAGTGGCGCCACTGCCTGCCTCACAAGCACAAGGTCATGAGTATGAACCCCAGTATGAAAACAAAAAAAAAAATGCATACATAAAGAAAAGGATGTAATATCATCAGTGGAGCTGAGATATAGATTATTATTTTACATTATGGCAGTCCTCTTGATAATGAAATATCTACTTAGGTACAGCGATTTATTTTTTAAAAAGCCTTCAAGTTCCAAATTTCCTTTAGGTTCACATATGTTGTTAAATTCGGTGATAGTTTCCATATTTCCACTGAGGATTAAGAGCAGAGAGCCTACATATATTTACATGAGTTGTACATTTATTAGCGGGTAAATACCACACGTCATATGGATTAATATCCCAAGTCTAATCCCTTTTTCCACTCTCCTCTACTGCAAGGTGAAATGTCTCGATCAGTAATGTTGCAAGGATTAGTACCAGGCATACCTCACGGAAAATTTTGAAACTATACCGTAAGAGCAATGTGGCGTATAGGATAGGACTGATTTTTTATTGGGAAAAACAGAAGTGATAGCAATATTGAGTATACATCACATGTTGGAGTTAAGACAAACATGTTCCACTCACAGAGTGTCTGCTAATTTTCACTTGATTGAAACGAAGAGAGGCCCAAGAATGTCGAAAGGGTACCATCCCAATAATAAAGTAAGACATTACATCATGTCCTTTCATTGATAAAACTGAGCAACAGTGAAAGCATTTGAAATAGGATGAGTTCTTCCCAGAGAGCCTTGAATCTACACGTGCATGTAAACTACCTTTGAGAACAATAGGTACAATAGAGGAACATGAGTTAATTTCAGTGTCTATTTTTAAGAAAACAGTTTATGGGTACTAAACAAAACATAAGCATATGTGAGGTAAGATTTTTGAGAATCTGTTCAGGAATCCATAAGTTTATACTAATATGAGGACACCAACAGTCAGATCGTCTCACCCAGTTTTTGACATGCTTTGCTTTCAGGGATAGGTGTGGAAGAGAATGGAATCACATGTAGACATCAAAAACTAAAGTTTAATAGACAATCATTTAAAGCTGTATGAAGCATCAAATCTGTATAATGTATCAAATTTGTACCAAATTCAAATCTGGGTAAAATATCAATTCTGAGGCAAGCATTAATAAATGTTGATGTTTTAATTAGTAGGGGATATTTTTGAGAGTAAGATAATACTAAGGAGTTGCTGTCTAAATATAAGAAACATTCTAAGGCAGTGGTCTTCAACCTTGGCATAAAGAAAGATCACTTAAGAACTTCAAATGAGGATATTCTATATACACAGATTTCAAAATGAGGGTAAAGTAACTAGGTATTAAAAGTGTTCTCCGAATAGTTTCTCTGGTGTGACATGAAAAGTGTAAATCAGGATCAAAATGTATAAATTATCATTGAAATGGGAAGAAAGGTCTAAAGGAGTAGGGGAAGTAGGATGAGTAGGAGAAAAGAAAAAAGGGGAAAGAAAAAATTAGAAAAGGAAAAATGAAAAAAAAGCTTTTGTAAACAGGGAAGAGTGGAGTCAGTGAAGGGAGGGCAGGGGAATGGAGGAAAAATAAGAACCAAGATACATCATGTAAAGGTACAAGAACCCAACGATGAATGTAACTGTGTTGTATACCTAAAGTGTACCATTAAAGTTAATGAAAAAAGGGGAAAACATTCCCAATTAAAGATATTGATAAATGACATGAACATATTTTCACATAAGGAAACAGCCCAGGTCTATTAACATTGTTATCTGAAATTTTTTTCATTGAGTTTAGTGGTACTTTTTAGATATACAATGCAGTTACATCATCATTGGAATCTTTTCATGACAGATCTTGGTTCTTATTTTTTCCCATTCCCCTGCCCTCCCTTCACCCCCTTCACCCTTCTCTATTTACAAAGACTTTGTTTACATGTTTTCTTTTCCCCTTTTTTTCCTCTTTTCCCTTCTTACCTTTCCCCCTACCCTTCCCACTTCCCCTACTCCTTTAGACCTTTTGCCCTGTTGCACAACTTCAATTATACATTTTGAACCTTACTTACACATTTAGTTTTTCATTCCAGAGAACCTCCTGCTTTGCTTTTATTGCCTTGGGACTGCTTTTGCTATTCTGTGTCTCTTCCAGTTTCATGGGAATTTTAAGACTGTTTTCTCTAGTTCTGCGAGGAATATTGCATGTATTTTTATTGATATAAGATCCTTCTAAATTATTTTAACATTTCTATCATGAATAGGATTTGGTGAAAACCTTTCTCAGCATCTATCAATATGATCATGTGGTTTTTGTCCATGTGTGTTTATTCCACCAGCTTTTTAATTTTTCTTAGTGTTTCTACTACATAATGACTACAGTCATCGTGTGAAGTAAGTATCACCAACTTAAATCTCATTTGTAGCCAGGCAATGTGATACATGCCTATAATGCTAGGTAGGGAGACTGAGACAAGAGAATCACAAGTTTGAGACTACCTGAGGGAACTTAGTGAGACCCATCTCTAATTAAATAAAAAAATTTCTAAGAACATAGCTCAGTTAAAGAGTGCTTGCCTAACATATATGAGGCCTTGGGTTCAATTCCCAGTATTGAAGAAAAAAAATCTTTATGTATTGGCTGAGGGATCCCATTATTATAACCTCCTCCTTGTTCCCTGAAAACTTTGCAATCTTCCAGTTACCGAATCTCGAAGAACACCTTTATTCTCCCACCTTACCATTTATCAGCATATGGCCAGGTACAAAGTGCGGAGGCATGAGATGAATGAAGAAATACTGCCAAGAAAGTCGTGAAAAATCACCTTTGCCGTTGCTAGCTCTTTCACACCTTCTCCTGCGTAAACACTATTTAGTTGAAGGTTCTCATATCTACTATGAGCTGTAAGGACTTAAGACACGCTAGTGATCAGGGAGTAAAAGATCTAGAGATGGAGGTTAGCTTAATAGTAGAGTAACTGTCTAGTCTGCACAAGGCCCTGGGTGCAGTTTCCAACATGCACATACATGCACATACACAAAATTCCTTAATATGGAGTTAGGGATGTGGATCAGCACTAAAGTACTTACATAGCATGCATTGAGGCTCTGGGTTCAATCCCAAGCAACACACACACACACACGTTCTGACAAGGGTTAATCATTCTCCAACATGATTGCACAGCAGACCCACTTGGGATGCTTTTTTAAATCTTTTAAATGCAAAATTAATTAAATATGAATGTCTGCTGGTGTTGGGACTCAGATATGAGGATTTTCAAAGTTCACCAAGTTCTTCCAATATGATGACAGTTGGTCTTTGTTTCTGTTTTTTTGAAACAGGTCTCTATTAGTCCAGCCTAGCCTTGAACTCACTATGCAGCCCAACCTGGGCTCAAACTCTGTGATATGGTTGCTTCAGCCTCCAAGAGATGGACCTACAAGTATGTGACACCACATGCACCCTGCAACATCCGTTTGGAAGGTCAGTGACAGTCTCTCACATAACCTGCACTGAGACATTTGATCAGCACCAAAATTGTATGCAAAATAGTTATGGATCATGAGAGAGGTTGAGAGTTGTGTGTTTATTTTTAAACGAAAAGGTGGTTCGTTTCTCCAGGATGCATGGTTCATGGTTGACAAACAATTCTGGAGGTCTTATAGGATTTAATGATGCAGTGGTTTGGGAGTGTAAGATCCCAGAATTGCCACGACATCCCATTCAAGGTGTGCCTTTGTTGGCTTTCCATCAACAAAGCACCTGATATAAACAGCATATAAAGTGGAAAAGGTGTATGTTGACTATAGGTTGCAGTTCATGATTAGTTGGCCCAGTTGCTTTTGAGCCCATGGAGAAGCAGTGTATCAGTGGTGGGGAGCATATGGCAAAAGGAGATCTGTTCCCTTTGATGGAAGCTCAGGAAGGAGAGACCAGAGTCCCACACTCCCCTTTAGATATGCTCTCAATAACACAACTTACACCTCCTAAAGATTCCACCTCCCACCAGGGATTTAGCTCAGCAGTTTGGTGGCCTGCCTTGCAAGCACAAGGACCTGAGTTCAATCCCCGGTACAAAAAAGAAAAAAGAAAAGATTCCACCTCCCAATAGTGACACTGACTGGAGACCAATCTGGAACACACAGGACTTTGGGGGGCATTCAGGATCCAGGCATTAGCTATGCCAAATGAGGCAATGTCCAGATTTGAAACATCAGAAAGAATCAAAGCCATGACAGCTAAAAAGTGATGCAGCCAAAGACACCATATCTGGTTTTGCAATCTTTCACAGAAGATGAACAGCAGCCTGACAAGCAGGTATTGTTGTCAGGCCATTCTGCTGAGGAGCTTCCAAAGGGCTCTCTTGATGTCCCTGTTCTTCAAACTGTAGATAAAGGGGTTCAGCATGGGGGTGACCATTGTGTACATCACTGAGGTTACCATATCCTTCTTCGGGGAATGTGAGACAGCTGAGCTGAAGTACACTGCAAGGCCTGTTCCATAAAACAAGCAAACAACTAACAGGTGAGAGCTACAGGTGGAGAAGGCTTTATACTTCCCACCTGTTGATGGGACTCTTAGAATGGAAGAAATAATTTGCGTATAAGAGTAAAGGATCCCTGAGACTGGAGCACCACCAAAGATGGCACCAAGAAAATATATTAATATATTGTTAGTGGATCTATAATGACAGGCAAGCTTAAGGAGCTGAGGAAATTCACAAAAGAAATGAGGGATTTCTACACCTGAGCAGAACGCAAGTTGTGATGCCATTATGCCGTGCACCTGGGCATCCAAAAGACCGAATGAAAATGACACCAGGACCAACAAGCCACAGAGGCGGGGGCTCATGCTGACTGGGTAGTGCAGAGGGTGGCAGATGGCCACCAAGCGGTCATAGGCCATCACTGCCAGCAGCAGGCTGTCCAAACATCCAAAAAGAGCAAATAAGGACACCTGAGTTAGACAACCTGCATAGGTGATGGATTTGCTGTGTGTGTGAATGTTCACGATCAACTTTGGGATTGTAGAGGAGGTGAAACCGATGTCAGCCAAGGACAGGTTGGAGAGGAAGAAGTACATGGGGGTGTGGAGGTGGGAGTCAGAGATGACGGCCAGGATGATGAGCAGGTTCCCGAGCACTGTGACCAGGTACATGGACAGGAAGAGCCCAAAGAGGACAGGCTGTAGGTGTGGGTCTTCTGAGAATTCCAGAAGAAAGAATTCCAAAACATCTGTTAGATTCCATACTTCTCCATGGCAGAGGCACCTTTCAGAAAATAAATAAAAGCTGGAGTAAAGGAAGCAAACATACAGAGTCCAATTTCTATGCCTATGTTGTAAACTTAAGCAATTCACAGCGAAAGTATGTATGCTCAAGGGTCACATATATTTAACACTATTTCTTAGTTATGGCAGATATATTCTTCATAGAATACTCTCTGGACTGGTTTTACTTATGTTTGTCTATTTCTATACACATCCAAGTTAGAAACATTAACATAAGTAATCTATAGGAGAGAGAAAATTTAGGGGTGAAAAAATTCATAAACGTACTTTAGTATTAGTCCCCTGCATTGACTGGAACATAAGTATGTTAATCAGATTTCTGACGTCGTGATAAAGTATCTGATACTAAAATCGGAAAGGTTTACTTTGCTGAGAGTGGTGAGATTCGGCCCATTCTCAGTTGGTCCTGTTGCTTTGGACCTGTGGTAGCACAGTACAACATGGTGGTCACGCACACTGGGAGTGGCTGCTGACCTCATGGCAGTTAGGAAGCAGAGAGAGAGAAAAAGGGGCTGAGGTCCCAGCATTCCCTTCGAGACGACCCCCCATAGGCCTAACTTCCTCTAACAAGGCCGCACCTTTTAAAGGTCCCGCCACCTCTCAATAGCACTGCAAACCCTCAACAATGTTCCTTTTGGGACACACTCCAGTTCTACACTGTACTAAGGAATAGCCTTCTCCCTCAAAGGAAAACAAAATGTGACAGTTAAAGGACTCCGTTAAACAGTCCAAAGTACTTTATGTTATCAAAATGCAATGCAATAAAATCCCTTGTGGTAGATTGAGTATAAATATCCATTCAGAGCTGTGTGATAAAGAATCTAACTCCATTGTGTTTTCTGTTGGACTCCTATAGGTTTGTGAGCATCACATCTTCCTTCTCATCTGGGAAAGTTGATAAGAAATAAGAAACAACAGTATTTTCTCCCTCGGGGTCAGCAGGAGTCACAAACCACAGAAGCTCAGGCCCACAACAGGAACTCTCACACCCTAACCACAATGCAAACCACAAGCTAACCACTTTCCCTGAACTCTCCTACCATTTCACCACACAGGAAGCTCTTTCTACGGGGAAATAAAACATTTTATACTCTGATATGTGTGGCATTATTAACTTCCATATCCAAACCAAATTTGGGGTGGGTGTCCATTACGGTCTCAATGGGAAATGTCCCCGGAGACTCATGCTTGATCTCTGATGTAGAATGTTCACCGTGGTAACTGACCCATGCAGATACCGTCACCGATGTATTAATCCATTGATGTAGTCATTGGCTGAATGTGTTCTTAGGAGACAAGGAGGAAGTAGATCATTGGGGCATAATCTAGAAGGGCATATTCTTATCCCAGAGTTTTCACACCTACCTGGCTCTTTCCATCTCTCTCTGCTTTCTGGCTGCCATGAAAGGAGAAGCTTTCCTCTACCATGCCCTTCTGCCTCGGAGCCAGACAGTCACAGGCTGAAACCTCTGAAATTGCGAGCCAAAAATAAATCTACTTACCTTGAAGCTGTGTGTGTCAGGTAATTTGCTCTAACAATAGAAAGCTCGCTGTGGGCCGGCCATTTAGCTCAGTGGTTCTGCCGCCTTCCTCTCAAGGGCAAGGAACCGTGTTCATATACCCAGTACCAAAAGAATAGAAAACTCACTAACACAGGGTCCCCCCACTTGAGGCAGCCAGAGGGCACTGAGACAGTGACTACCCCCAGCAGAAAACTGTCTCCTCTTTTCTGGTTTGCTGAAATTAAACTGCTGGCTCCTGGCAAGTTTGTGCCTTGGGCTCTTCTAGGCTGTGGCCAATGAGTTCTCGCACTCATTTTTTACAGATCTAACCAACCTAATTAAAAGTTCCTACAATCACTTCGGCACAGATCTTAACTGTACCCACCCTTCTCTAGGACCACATCTGAGACATTAACTTGATGACATCCTCCTCCGGGGATATTCGTGTCTCACACAGTCACTGAGGACACGCGAATGCTCACAAAGGCTATCGGGTGTGTCTACTTCGTTTTTGTTTTGTGAAAAATCTCTCCAACTTGTAATATAATATTTTATATCCTACTAAGCGGAAAACAATAAGTTCCATAGAAAACTCATGAAAATCAATAGACAAACATCCTTATTTTTCATATATATTTTTCTGAGCAATGAACTTCAGTTCACAAGGTGCTTAGGAAGCATTCTTACTTACCAACCGGCTCCAACAGCCTCTCTCTTTCCTGCTCACCTCAAAACGAGGGAATGCAAGGAAATGATAGCCTCTCACTTCTCTAGGTAAGTAGAGATGTCTGAAAGGAATGAAAGTGTGGGCAAGAAGGCATTCCTTGTATAGACATCACATTGCCTATGCTCTGATTCTGTGAAATAACAAAGGGTGAGTGATATTCAACAGATATTCTATCCGGTCAGCCACAGCATAGGCTCTGAGAAATGAGAAATTATATATGATCTCAGATCTTTCGCAAATGAGAAGGGAGCCAAGAGATGAAGGGAGGAGTGAGGAATGGAAGGGAGGGATATAAAATGAATTTAGATGTGTTACATCTGTGTACCAGCTGCCCACGATGAATGTAAATTATGCTTTTTTTTTAAACTGGTACCGGGGATCGAACTCGGGACCCTGCGCTTGCAAGGCAGGCGGTGGAACCACTGATCTAAATCCCCAGCATGCATGTAAATTATGTACAGCAAACATGCACTGACAAAAATTTAAAAATTAAAGAAAGTGGGGCCTGCTGGGAGGGAGCTCACTGACGAATGAGACTATGTTCCTAAGGGGAACAGTGGGACCCCAGATTCTGCCTCTCGCTTCTTTTTCTTCTTAGCTGATAAGGTGAGTGGTTGACTCTGCATCATACTTGCTCCCCCATCACCTTCCAGCACCCCCATCAGAGACCCAAAGCAAGAGGTCAACCTGATCTTTAACTAGAACTTTCCGGACAATGAGCCAAAATAAACATCGTGTCATGATGAATTAAAGCTTTGTAAAAAAATAAATGATTATTAACTTTCCTCCAAATCCTCCACCTACAATGAACAGGAAAGAGAACTGAGATATTTGGTTGGCTTGGTAGAATTCTTCTAGATGCCCTGTGAATAGAGTTATGCTACCCAAATCTAACCCTGACTTCATCTCCTTTTACCCTAGAAATTTCTAATAAGTAAAATACTGTGTTCCTTTCCTCAATTATAAAATAATGTCATGTGGGCACCTATATCTAGGATGCGTTTATGTAGACAATAAGGAGAAAAAGCTGCATAACGCATAGTTCAGAGCCTGGTAGTAGGTAACTCTTAGTAAAGTTTTATGATGTTGTAATTATGATGATACAATGGTCACTACTATATGTTTCATTATGTTATGGTCACTACCATAATCAGCAGCAGCAGCTCCAGAATCATTTTGAAAGTAAATTTGTAAAAACTCATTTCTTTCTTTTTTTTTAATGTTAAGAATCAAGTTTATTTGCAACAGCCAAAGGTTGGAAACAACTCAAATGTACACAAACTGACAGTGCCATGCCTGTAGAACAGAGTGTATTTAGCAATAAATATAATGAACTTCACCTATCAACTTCATTGATTAATCTCAGAATAACTATGGAGCATGAAGGAAACCAGAAAAAAAAAAAAACAGGCTCCTGCTGGGAATTTCTACAAAATGCAAACTAATCCACTGTAAAGGAAAGAAACCCAATGATTGGCAAACTGGGAAGGGAAGTACATGTATGTAAAATGATGAGGAAAATATGTGGATGCTGCGTATGTTCATTGTGAGAGGAAACCGCTTCTTACTCTACTAGGAGGGGCACCTGTGAAAGCAAGACATGGTGTATGAATAGAACAGAGCTCTAAATGAGAGCTTTGAGATCCCCACAGAAATAATAGAAATAATATAAACTCCACAGCTCTCTGAGATGACGCTTACCACAGCGGTACTTTCCCATCTCTCTATCCCAATCTTCCCTCTTGTCGGGGAGAGGAGGAAATAGGGTTCCCAAAAGTCCCTCCACCACCACATCTGCACCATCTACCCACACCCCTCACTGCCCTGCCACTCACTGGGCTGTGACCTCTTCCTGCTGAGGCATAACTAGGATTTTGGATCCACTGCCTTTCAGGGGCTGGTAGAAGATGAGAGTTGGAGATTCGTCTTCACGGGTGGCAGAAAGTAGAGTCAGCCGGGAACACCTTGATGTAAAAGGTGGCTCTGAGAAGAGGAGAAACAAGTTTAAGACCCCATCAGAGTTCCAGAAGTTGTGAAAGGCTGTGGGAACTGACGGATGCTTTTGTACTTGTGTGGCCTTGACAGCCTAATGCACGGACCTCACAATTAGTCTAATTGGTTTTTATCCCAGTCTCTAAGGACGAGTTAATATTAATGGAGAAGAAAAGAGGAAAGGGGAATGAATGAGTTTTTAAAAAGTAAGATCTGGGGCTGGGATGTAGTTCAGTGCTAGAGCGCCTGCCTAGCATGTGTGAGGTCCTGGGCTCAATCCCAGCACTGGAGAAAAAAAGAAATAAGATCTGGGCATTTCCTCTTCTGAAGAGAAAGTTAGCATGAAAGTCTTCTGTTACTTCTGACTTCCAACTTCAATGATCTTAAAATAAAATATGATACTGTGGAAGATGAGGCAGGAGGGTAGTAAGTTCCAGCCCAGCCATAGCAACATAGCATGACCTCATGTCAAATGAATAAAAAAATGTGGACTTTTTTCGATTTAACGAATAACTTTTAGGCTTTGAGATCTATAAATCCATTGAATCAGCTCATGTACTTCAGGAAAAGGTACATTTTCTTTCAAAAGGAATCTAATGAAATGTCTATTTTCTGTTAAGATTTATGTCCCCAGGAAATTTTCCTTTATTTTAAAAAATTGATTATAATTTTTTATTTTATAAAAAATAAAACAACATTTAAGAAAGCAACAATAGTTAATACTGTTTATTATCTTCAAAGTAGTTATGCAAAGCACAAAACATAAGAGTACAAAAAGATTCTTACAAACAGGAAATAGGCAGCACAAAACTTTTCAATGGACTATGAGAAAATAATAGTACAACTGAAACAAATTAGACATATGTATATTAACATATATTTCCAAAATATAGAATAGGTAATTTGGGGATTTGAACATCTCTCTACTCCCTATTTATCTATCTTCTATTTTGCTCTTTATTTGTATATATATATATTTTCAGTTTTCTCATACGAGACATCACGCAATATTTAATCTTGGGTATCTAACTTTTTCACCTAACATTATGTTCTCAAATTGTATCCATTTACCTACAAATTCCTCAAGTTTATCTTTTTCTTTGTTTGTCTGTTTGTATTTTTGGTAACAGGAATCAAACTCTAGACCTTGCACCTGCAAGGCAGGCATGGCGCCACTGTTCAGTTTTCTCATACGAGACATCACGCAATATTTAATCTTGGGTATCTAACTTTTTCACCTAACATTATGTTCTCAAATTGTATCCATTTACCTACAAATTCCTCAAGTTTATCTTTTTCTTTGTTTGTCTGTTTGTATTTTTGGTAACAGGAATCAAACTCTAGACCTTGCACCTGCAAGGCAGGCATGGCGCCACTGAGCTAAATCCCTGGCCCGAGTCTATATTTTCTTATGGCAAAGTAACACTCCATTGTGTATAAATACCACACTTTCCTTATCCATTTATCTGTTGATGAACATATGCACTGTTTCCAAGATCTAACTATTACTAATTGTGCTGCGACAAAAACAGATATACTATGTATTCCTGTAAGATGCTGATTGAACTCTTTTGAGAAACAGAATTTTTACCTTCAGCTCTTTGAGGAATCTCCACACCAATTCTCATAGTGGTTGTTCCAATTAACATTCCCACCAACAATGTAGTGGGTTCTTTTCTGCCCACGTTCTCACCTGCATTTGTCATTATTAGATTTTTTTCATGATGGCCATTCTTTCTGGGTAAGATGGTATCTCATTTCAGTTCTACTTTGCATTTCTCTGATATCCAAGGATGTTAAATATCCTTTCATGTATTTATTGGCCATTTATACTTCTACTGAGAAATATCAGTTCCTTTTGGTTGCTTGTTTTTTGTTTTGTTTTGTTTTGTTTTTTATTGATTGGGTCTTTTGGGAATTTTTTTTAATTCTTTATATATTCTATGTGTTAGTTCTGTGGGAATAGCTTAAAATTTTTTCCCACTCTGCATAATAAAAAAACTCTATTGTTTTTTTTTTTCTTCATCATTGGGTTTACTGGTACATTTTAGGTACACAGTACAGTTAAATTCATTATTGGGATCTTGTACCTTTCCATGACAGGTCTTGTTTCTCATTTTTCCCCTTGTCCCTGCCCTCCCTTCACCCCCACTCTGCTGTTTGTTTCTGTTGCTGTGCAAAGATATTCAAGTTGATATGATCCCATTTGTTGATTCTCAGTACTATTTCTTGTATCACTGGGGTTCCGTTCAAAAAATCCTTGTCTACACCTCTGTCTTTAAGAGTTGCACCTCTTTTAGCTTCCAGCAGATTAACATTTAACACTTTTATTTAAGCTCAGTACAGAGTGAAATTTGTGAATCTAGACTCAATCTTCTGCATGTGGATACCCAATTTTCCTAGCACCATTTGTTAAAGAGGCTTTCTTTCCTCCAGTGAATATTTTTGGGGCCTTTGTCAAAGGTCAAATTGCTGTATGTGCCTGGGGTTTTTCTCTGCATCTTTTTTATATTCCATCTATCCACATGTCTGTTTTTGCTCCGGTACCATGCTCTTTTAATCACCATAGCTTTACAGTATAACTTCAAGTCTGGGATTGTGGTGCTACCTGCTTTGCTTTTATTACCCAAGATTGCTCTTCCTATTCCTGAGTCTCTTACTCTTTCATAGAAATTTTTGAACTGATTTCTCTAGTTCTGTGACAAATGCTGTTGCCATTTTGACTGGGATTGTATCAAATCTGTATATAAGTTTTAGAAGTATAGCTATTTTTTATGATATTGCTTCTACCTGTCCAGGAGCAGGGGATATCATTCTATTTTCCAATGTCCTCCTTGATTTCCTTTTTCAGAGTGATGTAGTTTTCATTGTAAAAGTCTTTTATTTCCTGCCTAGGTTAATTCCTAGGTATTTAATTTTTTTATGCTATTATGAATAATGGTATTATTTTCCTAATTTGTTTATTGATGTTGATTGATCTTTCATGTCTATGAGTGCTGGTTTTATGAAGTTGGGTGTGTGAGGACCCAAAATCTATGAATAAAGCTAGGGGAGTTCAAGACCAATGTATTCTTTGCCTGGTGGGCCTGGTGGTATGTGGAGACTCTGTTCCTCCCAGTCACAGCGGGAAGACCCACAAAGCTGTGATGCTCACAGGGCAAGATAACAACTTCCAAGGACCTGACTCTTCAGAGCAATGCAAGAGAGGTTAAAGTCCCACTTTAGGGGAAAACTCAGGTTCTCTATTAACTCATACTCTATTCTTACAAGAATGCTTTGTTCTTTTACTGGCCCATATGACCCACCATCACTGTTTCTTGAGTCACTCACTACCTTCTCTGATTGCTTATAGGTATTCAATAAATAGTGGCTGGGATCTGGCTCAGTGGTTCAGCTACGTGCCTTGCAAGCACAAGGGCCCAAGTTCAATCCCTGACACACACAAAAAAAAATAGTGGCAGACTTGGAGAGTCTTTGTATTTTACCTGGTCTGAGGCATTGATCTCCCAGTCCACCATTTATCTTCAAAAGTGTCTTTGTCCTTTATTCTTCATCATACCCCTCAGGGAGGCAGATATGGGGTTTGTCCAGTCCCTGGTATGGGTGTAACATGGTTTGGGGCGTATTTTTACAACTGTCATTTCTTCCTGTTAAACAATCTTGTTCACCCATTCGTAATTCTTCCTTTGCTTCTGATCAGCTTTGGCTTGAAGTCCACTCTGTCTGTAAGTAAAATAGCTACTCCTGCTTGTTGTGAAGTTCCTGTTACACAGAATATTGCCTTCTATCCTTTGGTTTTTAGTTTATGAGTTCCTTTTTTCACTTTTTTATTAGTACATGTTTGTAGTACATAATGATTACATACATCATGGGGGATATGAATTTCTTCTTGTGTTAAATATTTTACTTGTACACAACATACCATTGTATTTTCTTTCCTGGATTCATTCTGCTAATCTATGTCTTTTGGTTGGTGAATTGAGTCCATTTAGATTCATAGTTATAACTGATAGATTTGTCTTTAGGTAAGGTCTCACTATGTAGCTCAGACTGACCTCAAACTCATGGTGAACTTCCTGTCTTGGCCTACTGAGTGCTGGGATTACAGGCAGGTGCCACCATGCCAGGCAAATGGTAGGTATTGACTTGTTTCTATTATGGTATTATTTTCCTATTGCTGTTTTGTTTTTTTCTCTCTTTCTACTAAATTGCTCACTCTCCTCAATGAATCCATTTTATTGGACCTTTTGTCATTGTTACCGTATCTTTTTCTAGGATATCTCTCAAAAATTTTTGGAGTGTTAGTTTGGTGGTTATGAATTTCCTTAGGTTCTCGTTATCATGGAAATACCTTATTTCTCCATCACTTTTGAAAGATAATGCTGCAGGGTGTAATAGCCTAGGTCGGAAGTTGTTTTCTTTTAGAGTTTGAAACACATCATTCCAACTCTCCTTGCCTTTAAGGTTTGTGTTCAGAACTCTGTTCTAATTTTGATGAGCTTTCCTATATAGGTGATTTTTGCTTTTCTCTGGAAGCCCTTAAGATTCTCTTCTTGTGTTGTATTTCTGATATTTTAATTATGAGGCACACAGCTATTTATTTTTCTGATCATGGCTATGTGAGGTTCAATATACCTCACTTATCTGCATGTTAAATTCTTTTTCCATGTCTGGAAAGTGTTTGCTATTGCTTCTGTAAACAGATTTTGTATGTCCTTCATGCTGTCTTCTGCTTTTTAACTAATTCCAATAACTGTTACATTAGTCTTCTTTGAATCATTAGTCTACTTTGAGCTGTTGGATTCATTTCTCATGTTGTCTAGTAGTTTTTCAAGTATCTCTCATTAAGTGATCATTGACCACAGCCCTTTCCTTTGCTTTGGGGCATATATGGCCCTGTCTTCATATTGATCACTGCTGCTGCCTATACTTTTAAGTGTATTTTTAGTCACCTGAATTTGTTTGGAATTGTTTATAGACACCCATTCTTTTCTATGCTGGTCATTTGTGTATTGCATTTCTTTCATTGGCTCTATTATCTGCTCATTAGTGTTTTCTTCAGACACTGATCATTTGTTTCAGTAAGATCATTATATGGTTAGTACTACCTTCTTTAAATTTAGCAAGCACTTTATTGAATGGCTTTACCTCCACTGATATTCTTTCAGAGCTTTCTGCTGTGTGGCTTATGATTCCTCCCTCCTCAATGTCCTCTAAACTGGTCTTTGGGAAGCAGGGAGTTTGTGTTGCTTTGCTGTTTCTTCATGTTTTTAATTTTTTGGCGTTTTGTGCTGAGGTTTGTACCTTCTTGGATACAGTCCCTGGTTTCTCAGGAGTTTGCTGCATTATTGTTTATGATACTGAAAGCCAACTGATAGCAATAACTATGTCACCTTGGCTATAGTAGTAAAGTCAGCAACAAAAATGATGTCAAATATCAACTAGATACTGATACCGTAAAACACACTCATGAACTGTCCTTTACCAGAGTAAAAAGTCTGATTTTAGTGAAGCCACTTAGACCACTCAGATATTGACCTGCAGTAATTCAGACCTCTAATTTCTGCTAGATGCTGGTACTGGTAAGAGCTCAAGGATACGACTGAACTAAATGTCATCTCCTTCAGCGCCAGCCCCTCTGATCATACCCACCAAATCCTGCCTCCCACCACAGGATACAGGCTCCATGATCTTCCTGGCCCAAGCTGCAGCCTCCCAGAAGATCCCAAGAGGCCCCTCTTTAGTTCTCACCTTCTCTAAGACTGTCTTCCAAGGCTGCCTCTCACCTAGTGTCTGTGGAAGTGTAACACTTTAGTCCTGGAGCAAAACTCTCCTCCGGGGTGATGGTCTCATACACAATCTGGTCAGTCTTTTTATTATCATCTCTGCTACCCCGTGCGATGGGACCCATGAAGCACGTAGGGGAGGGGTGGGACCTCTCTCCTTTCCCTCAAGGTGCACGAGGCTCCATTGTCTGGAGGGGGAAAAGGTGGGGACTCTCTCTTCATCTTCAGGGACCATGAGGCTCTAGTGCCTGAGACGGGCAGAGCAGAGACATAAAGATTTCTTTTAGCATGTCTTGCTTGACAGTTGTGGTCATTTGCACTGGAGATTTATGGAGTTAGGGCCTACATAAATAACACATCCTAATTTCTCTTTAATTTGATGGTGTTGGTACTAAGAAAATATTTCAATGAAAAATGAAAGACAAATAAATGGAAAGATATTTCTTATTTGTGCATTTGAAAAATAGTGTTAAAATGTCCATTAACCAAAGTAATTTCCATCATCTCTTTCAAAACTTCAGCAGCATTTTTCACAGAAATAGAACCAAAAAAAATAACAATTCAAAAGTTTATAGGAAGCCATGAAAGACCCTGAATAGCCAAAGCAATCTTGAGAAAGATGAACAAAGCTCAAAGCATTACATTTCTTGATTTCAAACTGTATTACAAAGTTAGAATAATTAAAACAGTATGGTTCTGGCATAAAATCAGACACATAAACTAAAGCTATAGTTGAGAGCCCATAAATATAAAGTCAAATCACACATTCATAATGATGCATATAAAATCAATTACTCTTTGACAAGGCAAGGATACACAATGGAGAAAGAAGAGTATCTTCC